GGTGTGAATCTGTAGGAGAGAAAGGGGGTGCTTGAAAAGTATGTTAAGCTTCAAAGCAAGGAGACAGGAAGAACCAATTCAATAACAACCATCGGATTCGAACATCAGAACTGAGTTTGTCAGAGAGGAAGAGCACAAGGGTCAGAGGTAAACGGGAGAGTTCCGGGGACAGTGGTGTGTGTGTGTGTGTGTGTGTGTGTGTGTGTGTAATTCCTGCACTCAGGAATTACTCCTGGCGGTGCTCAGGGGACCACATGGGATGCTGGGGATCGAAACTGAGTTGGCCACATGCAAGGCAAATGCCCTATCTGCTGTACTATCACTCCGACTCCTAAATCTAAATTTTTGTGTACGTGTGTGTGGGAGGGGGAGGGGCGCACAGCTCTCAGTATTTGGCGGCTATTCAAGTCCTGTGCTTGGGGGGTCACTTCCAGTGTTGCTCAGGAGGCCATGAGGTGGCAGGGATGGAACTTGGGCCTCCTGCTTGCAAAGCCCGAACTTGGCCCCTTGAACACTGGCCTGGGAGTTAGAATCCAAGATGAAGATGCCCAGCTCTTAGGCAGCCACAGACATACAAGACCCAGGTCAGACCCAGTTTGGTCAGTTCAGGGGTGGAGAACGAAGCCATTCCTGGTGCCACGGAACAAGCCCTTTCCAGGTGCTCCACTCCCACCTGAACTAGATACTGCATCAGCTCACACCTTGCTCTCCACCGCTGCCACCCCGGCCTGCACCCGCGCTCTTCTCTGCTGTAGTCAGCGCCTTCTGACTCTGCTTCCATTCAGAAGCCCTCGCTCCATGCTCCAGGCCCAGCTGGAGGCCACCTCTGCTAAGAAAACCAGATCGCGTCTCTCCTCTGCGTTTGATGCCATCTCAGGAGCAAATCCAGGCTGCTAACCAGGGCCCTTCTGCTCACACACTGGGTTGCCTGCCTGCTCCTGTCTGCCTTCACCTGGGACATGGTAGCTTCTTGAACCCAGGGCTCACAGGGCAGCTTGTAGACTGCCTGACCCAAGGGAAGCAGCCCTCAGATTGTTCATGCGGGAGCCCAGTGCTCGCATGCCTGACTCTTCCTTACTTTGAGGGCTTGGCACTTCCGGTCCTCCTGCCTAGTCCATCCATGGCAGCCCCTTTACCTGGTGGGCTTTTCCTGGCTGTGCATTCCAGACCATCCCTCAAAGCAGCGCTCCCTACCAGCCTAGAGAGGGGCCGGATGAATGATCATATGGAAAAAAAGGTAATTAAGGGGGTGGCTAGAGCAATAGGACAGCGGGTAGATGTTTGCCTTGCATGTAGCCAATGCAGGTTTCATTCCTGGAAATTTATGATCCCTGAGTCTTCCAGGTGTGAACCCCTGAACGTAAAGCCTGGAGTAACCCTGTGTACCACTAGGTGTGGCCCCTAAAGCCAAATGTAAATAAGTAAAAAGTGATTAAGCAGTGACCAAACCAAGCAGTGACCCTGGCGTCCCATATGGTTCCTAAGCACTGTGAGCACTGGTCCCTGAGTGCAAAGCCTGAGCACTGCTGGGTGTATTCCAAAAATCAGACCAAAACCCGCTGTGCTGGAACAATAGCACAGCGGGTAGGGATTTGCCTTGCACACGGCAGACCTGGGTTTGATCCCCAGCATCCCATATGGTCCCCTGAGTACCGCCAGGAGTGATTCCTGAGTGCATGAGCCAGGAGTAACCCCTGAGCATCGCCGGGTGTGACCCAAAAAAAACAAACAAAACAACAAACAACAAAAACCAGACAAACAAAATTAATCGGGTGGGGAGAAGGCTCAAAGGACTGGAACACATGTTCCACCCCTTAGATCTTTGGATACAATCCCAGAAGCAGCCCCTGATCCCTGCCAGGTACGGTGTCCTGGAAGTGAAAACAAAATTATCAGGACAAGTAAGGAGAGACTGCTGAAATTCAGGGCAGGGATGAACGGAGACATTACTGGCACCCGCTCAAGCAAATCGATGAACATCGGGGTGACAGTGATACAGTGAAATCAGAGAATGGAATGAAGCACCATGCAAAGCACCCCGTCCTCCCAATACACACCCCAAGCCTACCACAAAGGTGGCCTCCAGCTTAGCTTAAATGGTACCTTCCAGGAGGGGCCTTGGGCCTCTCCCCTCATCCACCAACAACCACAGCAGCCTTCCGGTGACGCTCTGAGCCGCAGTCTCCAGCTCCTTTCCAAGGGAAATCGCAGTGTTTTCAGTTGCAGGGGAAACAGGGTTCCCAGCAGCCACGCACACAGTGTTTATCTATCCGTGAACCACAAGATGGTTTCGTGTCTCGAGTTACCAAGATCTTGGACAGGTGCCCGTTTTTCTAGAACTTGTCCTTGAAAGCAGCAGCAGCTTCTTAAGCAGAGAATTTGGTTGCACAGGGGTCACAAGCACCCGTCACAAGAGTGTACATATGAAAAGAGTGACTGCATGGATTTTGTTTCTTTCCTGCTAAAGAACAATGTGAGGCTGGAGAGATACTACGAAGATCATGGCACTTGTGTTGCGAGCAGCTGCAGCTGTTTCGAATCCAGCATCACATATGGTCCCCCAAAATCATCTGGCATGGCCAGAGCCAGGGGTGGCTCCTGAGCATTGCCAGGTGTGCCCCCCTCCCACAAACAAGCAAATCCAAACAACAACAAGCAGAATAGCAGTGAAGCCAAGCTCCACAGAGGAGACAAAACTGCTTCTTATAAAGTAGAGGTTTACAAATATATTCATGATGCACTTGTATTTGAAAGCTTAGTAGAACTGGGGCTGGAGCTACAGCACAGCGGGTAGGGCATTTGCCTAGCACGCGATCGACCCAGGTTCGATTCCCAGCATCCCATATGGTCCCCTGAGTACCGCCAGGAGTAATTCCTGAATGCATGAACCGGGAGTAACCCCTGTGCATCGCCGGGTGTGACCCAAAAAGAAGCAAATCAAAACAAAACAAAAGAACAAATAAAACTTAGTAGGACTTGCACTAAATGGCTGGCGTGAATTTCACCATGCCTTTAGAAACTTGTGTCTTTGCCTTTGATAAACAGAAGAAAAATGCTTTCAGTGTGATCAAAAGTTCAAGCATTATTGTTGGGGGAATGCTGTAAAGTGTCTTATTTAAAATACAGTTAGTTCAAAAGGTATTTAGCGCTTTCACAAAACATTCCTACATTGGGTTATAAACTTCCACATAGGGTATTGACCCAGGGTAAAAAATGATGCATATGCTGAAAGTAGACTCTAGACCGAACATGACTGCCACCCATTGCCTCTTTTGCAAACCACAGCACCCAAAGGGAGAGAGAGAGAACAAAAGGGAATGCCCTGCCACAGAGGCAGGGTGGGATGGGGGTATGGAGGGTGGGAGAGATACTGGGATTCGTGGTGGTGGAAAATGGGCACTGGTACTTAATCATTGTATAAGTGAAACCCAAGCAAAAAATTTGTAAGTCTTCAACTGTACCTCTTGGCTTGTCACTAATAAAAATTTTAAAAATATATCATTAAAATAATAATAAAAATGTTTCTATAATGGTCTATTTTTTTAATGATGCATAATATGTACTTATATTCTTTGAGTGTATGATTTCACCTAGTTAAGTCTCACTCTGCTCCTAGGAACCCAATACTCTCAGCTTAAATACTTGGAGAAACAGTTCAAGGTCCTGGGACACTGAGATAAGGCAAGAACTTGTTCTTGTCCAGGGCCCTGGGCGCTATCTGTGGGTTTCAGAGAGCTTTCTAGAGTGGGTTACTCTTGGGTTCCCGCCAGGCGTGGCATCATTCTGAAAATGCCACATCACCTGTTAATCAAGGAAGGAAACAGCTTTCTGACCCGTTTTGCTGATTTTGTAAGCAATTGCTACAAAGCAAAGAGAAAGCAGAAGGAAAGCAGCCAGACAAGAGAGTGACACAAGTGACACGTGTGTGCTGTGAAAAATGAAAGCAAAAGCTAGGCCTGTCCGGGCACCTCGCCGGCGGCGGCATCTGCACTAAGTCCTGAAGTCAGCAAACCTGACTCTTTCCAGCCTTCTTGCTCCCAGAGCGATAGTACAGCAGGGAGTGCATTTGCCTTGCACGTGGCTGACCCATGTTAGATCCTGGGCATCCCATATGGTCTCCCAAATATCACCAGGAGTAATTCTTGAGTGCAGAGCCAGGAATAACCCCCGAGCATCGCTGGGTGTGGCCCCAAAACAAAAACAAGCCATATATTTCTGAAACAAACTCTCCTATCCTCAGATATAAAAGATAGAGATTTGCTGCAGAGCAGGTTTTTGATAAAATCACCCCCTGCCTTTGTGTCGGGGGAGGTGTCTCAGTAAACCTATATTATCCACAGACACCCCGCCATAACCTGAGGGAAGTGCATTCCAGCCCTCCTTTCCCTCTCCACACCATTTCCAACCTTTCTCTCTCCACTTCGTGTTCTGGAGTTGTTCAGGAAAGGAGAAAGTGATAAATCCTTAAATGGAATCCGCCCTTGAGCAGATCTCCTAGTAATCTAGAGTGCTGAACCCCCAGATGAGATTTTTGTTCTTAAATTAATCTCCAACAGAAGTTCCCCTGAAGGAGGGGCATCACATCTGTTTATTGTTGTGATAATGTTCAACCCCACCTTCATGATTTCGATGTAACTAACAATTTAGCCGTGTGAGAGAGGATAACGGGCACGGATTACCAGCCAGCCTGTGGCCCTCTTCCTTGTGCGTTTGTTGCAGCCTCAGTTCTCGACCTCTGAACGCAGCCGTACTTTGAACTCACACCTGTGTATAAGCAGACATTCGTGCCTGTCATCACATCTTCTCTACCCATCCATCTCTCCGTGAATACTCACTTTGTTTCCACATCTCTCCTACCGATAACAATGCTGCAATGAACACTGAGCGCACTGAACTTTTTGTGTTTGTGTTTCCATTTCCCTCTGTTAATTACCCAGAAATGATAGGATTGCATCCCGTGATCGTTCTGTGTTTTATTATTATTATTATTAATTATTTGCAGGGGCTCTGGGACCAACCATCACCAGTTGCCCAGCTGCCAAAAATGTATGCTTCCAAAATCTCTTGATATTGATTCCACACAGAGAGCAAGTGAGCTTCCCAACGTTTGTGGCACTCCTGGCCAAAGCTCCTCACCAGACAATGCTCAGGGGTTACTCCTGACTGAGCACTCAGGAATCACTCCTGGCAGTGCTCCGGAGTGGGGAGACTGGGGATCAAGTCTGGGTGAGCCCCAGGCAAGCTCCTTATTTGCTGTACTATCTCTTCAGTCCCTATTTTTAATCTCTTGAGATGTCCAGGAATGACAGCCAAGGTTTGCTCATACGTTTATCCTTACCAATAGTGTTTGAAGAGTTCCTTTTCTTCACCTTCTTGCCATTTCTTGTCTATTTGATAATAGCCATTCTAACAGGTGTCAAGTAACGTCTTATCGTGATTTTTATTTGAATTTCCTGATCATTGGATAATGCTGACATCTTTTTTTCATGTATCTGTTGAGTATCTGTATGTCTCCTATTTTATTTTATTTATTTATTTTTTTTGTCTATTTGGGCTGGAGCGATAGCACAGTGGGTAGGGCGTTCGCCTTACATGCAGCCAACATGGCCGACCCGAGTTCGATTCCTCCGCCCCTCTCGGAGAGCCCGGCAAGCTACCGAGAGTATTCGATATGCCAGACACAGTAACAACAAAGTCTCCAATGGAGACGTTACTGGGCCCGCTCGAGCAAATCGATGATCAACGGGAAGGCCTTTACCTTTAGGCCTTTACCTTTGGAATTAGTGGGATAGACCTCTGGGTGAAAAGCTTGCCTTGATATGGGTGTCCCTGGGTTGATTCCTGGCACTGCATATAGTCTCCTAAACTAAACATCAGGAGTCACACACCACAGAGCCAGGAAAGACCCCATGCCCTTCTAGCTGTGACCCACACAGACAAATTAAAAAAAAAATGTCTTTTCAGATCTTCTACCCATTTTAAAATCAGATTGCTTTTGTTGGTGGTGGTGCTGAATTGGAGGAGTCCTTTACTCCTATTGGTGATTCACCTCTGATCAGACAAGAAGATGTGTGAATATTTCCTCCCGTTGGGTACGTTGTCTTTCATTTTGTTGCCAATTTCCTTTGCTGTGCAGAAAGAAGCTCCTTGCTTTCTAAAGAGTGATGATGAGGTTTGATGAGGTCTGCCAGTGATTTCAGTCTCCTGGATGTATTTTGTAGGGTTCGTGGAGTTAAACCCATTTGAAGCAGCAGCTCTCTCTTACCTCCAGCTTCACACTCTGAGGGTCACACTTTGCCCTCGAGCAGTGACTGGCACCTTTAGGCTCCAGCAGGATCCCCTGGGGTGGCAGAGTCTGTGGCAAATACCCATTCTCAACCTGCTCCCAGAGGTTCATGCTGACACGGCCGGGCCTCGGTTCATCTATATTCACCCTCTAAAGGGTTCAGATGCCCCCACCCGTGAGAAACACCTCACAACAGGAAATAATGGGAGGTGTCACCTGCAAGCTTTACCACAGAGACTATCTCTCCAGTTGTGTCTCCTTCATTTGAAATGAAAACTACACAGAGGCTGGAGAGACAGTGCAGTGACCAAGGTTGTGGTCTACCCAATTTTTTATCTCTGACATCCCTTAAGGTCTCCCGAGCTGGGCAGGAGAAAGCCCTGAGCATCGCTAAGTGTGCACCAAAAAAAAAACCAAGCTGCAAGTCTGTATTTTATACACTCTTTGGCAGTCACAGGCATCCAATAAATATTTGCCAAACAAAGCCAAGGAGCACAAATATTTGAGAGGTTGCTGTCCCGACCTTCTTGTGCTCAGGCAGACTAAGCTAATCGGCTAGAGAGCGCCCTCCTCCTGACGTGGGAAGCAGCTTCCATCCCCTTCAAAATCCAGCTTTCCATCACGTCAACAGGAACTGGCTTGCAAAATAAAGCCACTTACCAATTCTAAACCAAAATGGAAGTTCTTGCCTCCCACCATTGGTCATTAACTCCCTTCGTGGGATTCGGAAAATAATAATATATACAAGTGTTAATTAAGTACCTGCAGCGTCAGTCCGAGTGGGTCGGAAGCGCAGTAAGATAATTACATTGGGAGGGCAGAGCTGAGCCAGGCCTAGCAATCAGCAGGCTCCGGCACCTCCATCACTGGAAACTCTGGAATGATCTAAGGATACAATAATGGAAATGATACCGGAACTCAGCATCTCTTCCTGGTGCATCCGTCAGTGTTGAAAGCTTCTAAGCTCAGAATGCCCAAAAATGAAACCCGTATCTCATCCGGATCTCAGCAGGGCTTTGGGAAAGCTAGAGTCAGGTCCCCCCCACCCAAAACGTTCTCTCAGTTGTGGTCATTAATTCAGGAACACTGAGAACAGTACCTTTTTCTTGCTCTCCAACCTCGGAGGTTAAAAGATTTACAGGTCCATTTCGGGTTCTTAAAAGCTGTAGATCAGGGGCTAAGGAGGTTCAAAAGGAACTTTGGTTTCAAGAGGCTAGAAATACAAGAATGCTTCTTTTCCAGATGCTGCTACTGAGGTTATTTTTTTCCAATTAAAAGAGAAAAGGCCATAAAGTGCGCTTATTGTAATCCCCAATGTCTAGAACATTCCATTCCTCTTTGCCTTCAGAAGTTGCCTACCTTGTGTACCAGCAGAGGCCTGGCCGGCTCTTCTCTGGCTGTGGGGCTCTGCCCTGGCTCGCTACGGGGTGGTGGGGGATGCAGGCCTGAATGTCTTGACTGCGCTGCTCACTGAGCTGCCCTGCCCTTCTAGTCCTGTCTGCAGTCCCCTCCCAAGCTGGCAGACGCTATTCCTGCCGCTTGCAACCAAGTGCCTTTCAAATGTCGCCCTTCTTTCAAAACTTTGTTCCAAAGGATGGATGGGCACTGGAACCAGAGGATGAGGTGAGAAAATGAAGTTTAAAAAATTCTTAGAAAGGTTAAGATCCATGGCTCGAAACTTTCAGGCACATTCAGTTTTTGTAGCGATTTAAGCCAAAGCAGACAGTGATTCTTTTCCTGGTGTATAGATGATTTACAAATTTTTGCTTGCTTTTCTCTATGTTAACTTGCCAAGAGCATGTCTTGTTGGATTTTTCTTTTTTTCTTTCTTACTTTAGTGGTTGGAGCGAAGCACATTGGGTAGGGTGTTTGCCTTGAACGCAACCAACACAGGTTCGATTCCTCCAGTCCTCTCAAGAGCACAGCAAGCTACCTGTGGCATATCCAATATGCCAAAAAACAGTAACAACAAGTCTCACTTTGTGTTCCTGGAGCGAGCAGATGCCATTCGCTTTACTAGCAAGCGACAGGGACGAATGGAGACGTTACTGGTGCCTGCTCGAGTACATTGATGGACAACGGGAGGACAGTGCTACTTTAATGGGTCGTATAATTGACCCAGGAAAGATCAGGGAAGGTCTTCCATTTCCAAGAGTAAAAATAAAGAAGGGTAGAAATTAAACCAACCTCCTACTAGCAACAACCAAAAATACTGACTAGCATTTTCACCCCTGCCCCCTCTGCTTACCCCATTTTTTCCCCTTTTCTTATATTTATTTATTGGATCACTGTGGGAAAAGTTACATAGCTTTTAGGTTTAAGTCTCGGTCCTACAATGATCAAACACCTTTCCCTTCACCAGTACTTATTTTTTACCACCAAGAACCCCAACATACCCCCCTCCCACCCCTCCCAATGCCTGTGAGGCAGATGATTTCTATTTAACTCTCTCTTTACTTTGATTACATTCATTATTTCGACAAAAGATGCACCATTATTGTTTAGAATTTCCCCCCAACAATCAGAATTGCTGAAAAGGCATTGCGAAATAATTTGTTTTCTATAGCTGGTTATGAGAATCATATGATATCACGCAGCCGCAATAGCAGCTGCGCAAATTTGGATTTCTGATATTTTACTAGGTAAGTCTGGAGGGATTTCTGCAAAGAGCCAGGAAATTATGAGATTGGCTTCTGTGCATCTGGTGTTATGGCCGTGCCGGAGAGCTGCTCATGGGGTGCAATTCGAGACCTCGGTAGGGCGTGAAGGATGAGCCTGTACCGCCCCTCTTCCCATGAGACTGCAGTTGCTCCGTCACCACCAGCTCATACCTGGCTTTCCAATAAGCTCTGAGGCAGCGGCCACCTTGCTGCCGGGGGGCGGGGGGGGGGGGGGGGGGCGGGGGGTAAGGCGGAAGGGAGCAACACCCTTGCCCTCCTGGGGAGGCATGGTGCCATAGGCTAATGCATGGTCCATTCACTTTTCTGCCGCAAGCTGCCAGGCTCTGCATTAAGTCCTTTTGCCTCTGGAACCATGGCCCTGCCGGAGAGCCACTTGTGGTGGGTAACTTGTGACCTCACTAGGGCATGAAGGACGAGCCGGTACCTCCCCTCTTCCCATGAGACTGCAGTTGCCCCGTAACCGCTGGCTCATCCCCATTTCTTTTTTATTTTTTGTAAATAATAATGCTTTAATAAAATAAAATTTGGAAAAATATTTAATAAAAATTATTTGATAAATTGAAAATGTACCAGAGATTATGGAAAAGTATTATTTCCAAAAATAATAAAAAGGTATACTGAATATCTTCAGATTATTTACTTCTAACTTACTAAAAACATATCTAACCCCATTTCTTAAAAGTGCCAAATATCTGGCAAGATAGTTAGAAATTAAAGTCCGATTTGAAGAGTAAACAAGATCCCTGAAAGTTAAAGGCCAACCTAAAAGGGCATTTGTCAACTTGAACTTTGCATTGAGGGCTTCTCAGGACCTTTGCCTGAACCAAACCAGGGTGCTATCTCCCCTCACACTGTAAGTCAAACCCTCAGGGCAAGGGTGAGGCCCAAGAGTGCCTCTGTCCAGAGACCCAGGAGACTGCATGAGATTTGTCCTTAGCATTTGAGGAGACGCAGAGCTGTTAAGGAGTTACAACTGCAATTGGTACTTGCAGAGATTTCAAATCTATATTGCTTTGGTCTGAGTAAAAAGAAATAAGCGAAAGCAAAACCAACAAGACAAAAGCACCAAAACATAAAAACACCCTCAAGTTTGAATTTAGAGAGCCTCTGTGTCACTAGCAGAGGCAAAAGAAAATTCTCTCTAGAGAAACTTAAGAAAAGGCAAATGA